TGGGCAGAGCCTTGGGGACTTGCTCCGGTCTCCGCCAAAGCAGGCCCCAGGTCCCGAAGCGGTCTTCTCCCTGCAGGGGACGGTCCCCTCGTGCAGGGCTGCCTGGGGGAGTCCCACCTGCCCAGGCCTCGGGCAGGCGGGGGCCGCTGGCCACAGTTCAGTGCCACTGGCAGCCCCTCCAGCGCCCCCCCACAGCCCCCTCAGCCCCCCGCTCCCGCCGTGGGGCTCCTTGGGCCCCACCCCCAGGCTCTAGGCCCCCAGCCCCAGCCACACCCAGGAAGGAAGGAAGCCTCCACTGCCCTGCACCCCTCGAGTGGTCGCGGTGCCTGACCGGCCCGTGGAATCACGGGGAGCCCCTGCCTCCGCTGGTGTTTGGGCGCTGGCGGCCCTGCAGGGGCCTGGGGGCCTGGCCGCCTCCCTGCGGATCCTCCATCCTCCAGGGAAAGGTTGATGGTGGCATAGGTGCGGCCGGGGCTACAAATAAACCAGCCAGGGCCCAGGCTGGGTGGCCAGGGTGCTCCTCTCAGGGCGGGGCAAGGAGGGGACAGGCCTAGTGACAGCTGTCAACCACAGCACAGGAGCAGTGCCCAGACCCAGGGCCCCGCAGGGCCTGGCCAACCTGGCTCCCCAGCCAGGGCACCACTCCCCAGAGAGGGCACCACTGGCTAGGGGAGGAAGTCGGCCCTGGGTGGGGGCAGGCAGCCCCGACTGTCCCCTCACTTCCCACTGGGGATTGATGGCTCTGAAGTTTCCTTGGACACAAAGGACCTTAACTTTCCCGGGCAGAAGAGGACGGTGCCTTCTGCCAGGGGCAGGGCCTGTCTGTCCCTCCCCGGCCTGGGGGAGGTGGGGCCAGGCTGCCGGCAGACAGAGGCCAGCAGGGGCTGCCCCAACGTGTCCGGGAGGGCTGAGGTGCCCTGACGCCAGGCAGCCACCAGCACCCAGACCTAGGGCACAGGGGGAGCAGCGCCCAGGATGTGGGGAGCGGGGAGCGGGGGGCGTGGGGGCGCTGGAGCTGCCTGGGTGGCACCAGCCCGGCCTGCAGACACATCTGCGAGCCAAGAAACGCACCAGGAAGACACATTCGAAAGGCCTGCAGGTGGGAGACTGCTGGAAATTTTTCTTTTTTGCTTTTCTTTATTCTATTAATTTTCTACCACCAACGGGAGTTATTTTATAACCAGAGCAAACAAAAATCCTTGCAGAGAAGGACGTACCAGCTGGGTTCCTGGCCACGGCAGGGGGGGGGCTCCCGGCAGGATCTGGGCATGTCCAGGGCTTTGGGGTCCTTAAACCAGGCAGCTGGGGGACCGGGCGCCAGCCATAGCCCTCCAGGTGTAAGAGGTCCGCAGCCCTTGTCGAGGACTCGGTACACATCTGCTCTTCCCTGACAGCCCTCCTACCCGCCAGGGGGGCCAGGGCTTCGGGGGTCCCATGGGTGTGCAGGGGCCCAAGCTGGGAGCCTAGCGCATTGGGGGGCCTGGGCTGGGTGAAGAGGGGAGGCAGAGCTGTCAATGCCGGGGGCTGGGCCCCCCAGTCTCACACGGCCCTGTACAACACAGACCCAGAGCCCAGGGCGGCCAGGGCCCAGTCCCCAGAAGGCAGGTGGTGGCTCTGGCCCCAGGAGCCCCCACAGGCCTCGGCAGTTTCCCCGCAGATAGGGGGCTCGGGGAGGGGGGCTGGCAGAAACAGGGCCACCAGGGATAAGGGCCTGGGACAAGCCACCGGACCTGGAAGAGTCCAGTGAACAGAGCAGCCCCCACCTCAGGTCAGGCCAGGGGCCAGTGTCCCTGAAGGAAGCCCCTCCCCAAGGCCCCTCCCCCAATACCCCTCCCCCTGGCCCTCCCCTGGGCTGTGAGTAGCTAGAAGAGCAGGAGCCAGAGTTTGACCACCCCTCTGGGGTGCCTGCTAAATGGGGGTGGTGACGGGGGGCCTGGCTCGGGGGCGCTGGGAGGCCGCAGTGGGTCTGTCCAGGTGGAGCCCGGAGCAGGGCAGGGCGCAGGCCGGCCGGGTGGGGACCCGGATGGCTCTCTGGCCTCCACCATCCAGATCGGGGCCTGCTGAGCTGGGACCCCCAGGCCCACCGTGGGGGCAGCTTCCGCCCACTCCCGCAGCCGCTGCGCCAGGGCCGTGTCCAGCGCTGCACGGCGGGGGCTGCGCGCCCCCCAAGAGAGGGGCCGAGCCCAGTGCTGACGGCACCAGGGCACCCAGATGTCCCACCTGGACGTCAGCCCGGGCCTGGCGGACCACGGTGTGTGGTCCTGCTCGGACACTGCCACAAACTCCAACCGACAAGAGCACAGGATTAATTTGCTGCTTAAAGAAACAGCCAAAGACGGAAAACAGGTGAAAATTGCCTTCACTTTTAATTAGAGTTGAGGAAGTATTACCGTCCGCCGTGCGCGGGGCCGTGTGCGCTGGTGAGGAACAGGGCCCGGCTCGGACTCGGACTCTCCCAGCCGGGCGTCCGCTGCTCCCGAGACTCCAACCCCACCGGCCTCTCAGCCCGGCAGCTGCAGGGCCCTGCGCGACGTGGGCGTGGCCCTGTGCGGCGTGGGGGTGGCCCTGCGCGGCGTGGGCGTGGCCCTGTGCGGCGTGGCGTGGCCCTGCGCGGCGTGGGCGTGGCCCTGTGCGGCGTGGGCGTGGCCCTGTGCGGCGTGGGCGTGCGCAGAGCATGGTGAGGGCGTGGGCAGAGCAGTGTGGGCGTGGGCAGAGCGTGTTTCTGAGCAGGAACAGGTGACATCAGGAATGGGCGTGGTCATGGGGGACCTACAGAGGGAGGGACAGGCCCAGCCCTGGGGCGTCCACATAAGGGCCCTGGTTGTTTTGTCTTTAATTCCAGAACCCCCTCTGAGCCTTGGACGGGGAGGGGGGGATGGGTGCTGGGGGGGAGGGGTGCATCTCCAAGAGTGGCTGTGCTTCCAGACCGCCTGTCCAGGGACTTGTCCTGGAACATCTCACAGGACTAGAGCTCAGGGATCCCCATGGCTTCTCGGGGCAGCCTCCCGGGTTTCCCGGGCACTGCTGCCCACAGCCACCCGCACCACCAGACCCCAGGTGGGGCCTGCAGCATCCTGCACAGTTCAGTCTGGACTAACGCTGCCCCATGCAACCCCCTTGGGCCCAGATGAGGTCCTGGGGCCCGTGGTCAGCAGGTGAGGTCCAGGCACCCCGCTCAGAACTGCCGTCCTGGTGAAGGCCGTGTGCCCAGGGCGGACCCACCACAGGCCCCCCTCACCTCCCCTGAACCCTGGACCCCCTGCAGGGTGAGCTGGAAGGGAACTGCCTGGAGCCAGGGGCTCAGAGGAAGCCCCTCCCCCATGCTTTTGGGTGTCCTCAGCCCCCCACGCCCTCAGTACCTACAGGTCACACAGCCAGGACCCACTCAGGTGGCTGGGGCTGGAGGGCTTGGGTGCTGCAGACACCCTCAGTGGGGCGCAGGGCCAGCCCTCCCCTGGCTGCCTGCTGGGGACCAGGGTGGGGGTGCTCACACACTGGCAGATCCCCCTCCTTTCATCCCAGCAGGGGGAACCTAACCCCCCCACGCCCCAGGGCCCAGGCAGGTGCCACCTGGCAGTTCCTGAACATGCAGAATTCTCCTGCAGACAGCAGGGTGGACACTGCTCAGGGTACACGTCTGCTTCCGAGACCAGGAGCCTTCCCTGCCTCAGCCCCCAGCAAAGCCAACGTCTGTCCTGGGCTGTGTCCCTTAGGCCTGAGGGCCCAGTCCCTTTGGCCCAAGCAAACCTGGGAGCAGGAGCCCTTCCCTGGGGAGCCCCTGGGTAGAGGTGCGGAGGTTAAGGACCAGGTGCAGCCCCTACCTGGCCGCAGTGTGGCTGTGGCCACCCACCCCACCCCTCTCTCAGGACCTCAGGGCAGAAGACCAAGGTGCGGGTCCCCAGCCGGGACTGGGCTGGGGCCTGGGGGGCACAGTCCAGGAGCAAACGTGCCCAGGCCAGAGCACACCTGGCCTTTCGTCTGGGGGGTGAGGCCTGTTTGAGACACCTGCGTGAGACACCAGCTTCCTGAAGGGGCTTTGCCACACTTTGCAGAGGACGCCCCGACACCCTCCCAGACCCGGGCAGCGCCCAGAGGAGGGTGCGTGGCGTGTGGGGCTCCAACAGGCAGGACCTCGGCAGCCGGGAGCTCAGCGCTCAGACCCCCGGGGACCCATGTGGGCAGGACGGTGGGGGCTGCTGCGAGTCTGGAGGGAGCCCCCGGGTGGGCCCTTCTGGATGCCTGGGAGGCCCCCTCCCCACGGCCGTCCAGGGGTTCCCGGGACTCTGGCCCTGGAAGGTCTCCGGGCCCCATGGTGGACCGAGGTGAAATCCCGGCAGGCTGGTTGAGAAAAGGGCTCTGCTGCCACAAACAAGCTTGAGACCCTGTCCCCCACCCACCCCGTCAAGCCAGACCACGGGGAACCTGTCCCTGGGGAGGCCCTCAGGATGGCCACTGTCCCCACACGCTGAGGACAGTGGTGTCCTTAGAGCACAGCACGTTCTAGCAAAGCTGTCACCTCTGGGATGGCCCTGGGCTCCCAAGGACCAGACCAAGAAACCCAGGAGTGAGCGGCTCCCAGAGAGGAAACTGAGCTCGAGGACCCCGCGGACGGGTGCGCAGGGCTGTCTCTGCCCGGGAAGCGCGGGCGTCAACCAGGAAGCCAGGGTGGCCCAGACCCACCGCCCCCCAGCAGCAGCACTGGGGCAGCTGGCCAGCGCCCCGAGGTGACAGGGACGCAAGGGGCAGGAGCGGGGCCCAAACGTGTCGGGCCACAGGGGTTGGGGGGCCTCCCGCCCCCTCGCCAAGGGGACTCCGGCTCCACCCACAACCAGGAATGCCCAGCTCGGTGTGATCCAGCTGCAGAGCCCGGAGCACCCCCGGGACTCTATTCTTTACACGTAAGCTGGGAAAGGGAAGATTAATTTTCTTTTTGTTCTTTTCTCTTTTTGGTCTTTACCGTGACAAAAAGGGGCAAAAGGAACTCACTCCCGGACAGCAGAGCAAGTTTGTTTTCATTTTAATGTTCAAGCCTGATTTCAGAGTGACAAGCCCCTCATCCTCTGCATACACAACGGGTCACTTGTAGCAGCATCTCGGGGACAAGGTGGCCCTGCGGGCTGTGCCGGGAGCCCGGGGGTGATGTGAATGGAGGGAGAGGTGGGGGGGCTGCCCCACGCTCAAGTGCACAGAGACCCCTCGCCCCGGGGCTTGGGAGAACCCCACACGTGCAATTTGGTTTTCCTGAAGCCTGCAGGTGGCCCCAGCCCACCGAGGCCGGGCGGTGGCCCTGTCCTTCCGCCCAAGGGCCACCAGCCTGGGGGCCACCGTGCCCCAGGCGTGAAGCGGCAGCAGCGAGCTCGGCGCTGAGTTCCGGCCACTTCCCAATGCCGGAAAGCTGAAGTCCGAGTCACGGGAACAAACACATTCCGACAGAGGAGCTGCCCCGCTCGGGCCCCCTGGACACCTGCTCCTCCGGTGGCCTCGCGCCGGCTGACCACGGTGCCTGGCGTGTTTCTGCACGCAGCCGGCCACGGGGCACGGGGGTCCCTCGGACGGAGGTCAGAGGCTCCAGGACAACAGCCATGCCCTCATCGTCGGCAACCTTGGGGGAAACAGAAAGGGGCAGAGGTTACCCCGGGGTCAAGTGCGAGGGGACAGGCCCCTCGGCGTCAGAGCACTGGCCAGGGCGCCCACCTCGGGTCTCCTGGGCCGGCTCCCTCAGGCTCCGAGGCTCTCGGGGGACCCCAAGGCCCTCTGCTACCCACCCGGGTGCCCAGGCTCCTGGCGCCGCAGCGGGCCGTGCTGCGCAAGTGGCGGCTCCCGGATGGTGCAGGGCGGGCAGGGACCACGGACGGAAGTGGCCCACCGCCTGGCAGTGCTGGGAGGAGCTGCTGCCCTGGGTCCCCCCGCGGCACTCAAGGTGGGGAACCCACAGTGTAGATACCCCTTGCACCTGGGCCTGGGGGTCCCTCTATCCACCAGGCCTGTGCCTGGGACGGGGTCCCCTGGCTGGGGGAGGGTGGATTTCCTCCCAGGCTGCAGGGGAGCCCCGGGCGCCAGCCCTGCCTCCAACACGCCCGACCCCGCACGGGCCTCTGTCTGGCCACCCCAGGCAGACCACAGCCGTGACTCTGGGCCGACCCTGTGCCCTGGGGAAGGCGGCTGAGCTTTTGGGGAGAGGAGCCCAGAATCCACCGACCCAATTCTCCACCTGCTGAGTGCGCGGTGGGCGGGGCAGGGAGGGGCCCACAGGGCTCAGGCCCAAGACCCCCAAACCCCGCTACCCCTCCCACCATGGGCGGCCCGCAGTGAGCTTGGCACACGGCATTCCAGTCCCAGAGCCACAATGCCGCCACTCGAGCGGCCACACCGGGAGGGGGAGGAAGAGGCGGCTGTGCCCGCCTCTGCCCAGTGGTCGGGACCCCAAAGGTCAGAAAAGGCCACCAGCCACGATGGCAGCAGAACGGATCGAAAACTCGGGGTCAGACCCGGCATGGTGACAGTCCCCTCCTGTGTCTCAGGCTTGCGCAGTCGAGGCTCACAGGGGTGAAAACCTCCCGGACACAAACAGGAGCCGGGCTTCGGGTGTCAGGGTGGTCCCGTTCCCTGCCCCCACGCCCCCGCCGTCTCTGGAGCTCGGTCACAGCCACCTGTGCCCGGCACGGCCCCCAGCCCCCAGGGAGGCCCCGGCTTCAGTGCTGCGGCCGAATGCCGAGGAGCCTCGGACGACAGACGTCACATGTTCCCAGCGTCTCCAGAAGGGCCACGCCCGTGACGCGGTGGGGACCAGGAAAGACCTCCTGAAGGACCCGCCAGGGAGACCCGTCGACCCCCCGAGGGCAGGCCCACTCTGCACCCAGAGCAAGGACATGTCTAAATCACGTGCGTGCGAGTGTGTGTGCACACGTGTTCCTGTGCGCCTGAGTATGCAGGAGCGTGTGTGTCTGAATGAGGGAGCATGTGCACGTGTGCTCCCGTGCACGTGTGTGCCTGCGTGTTTGTTTGTGCACGTGTGTCCGTGTGCGCACTGAGCAACCACAGAAAGTCGGAGTCCACAGAACTAGGGAACCTCGATGCTCCGGGGCCAGGGGGCGGGTGAGGCCCAGAGGAGGAGTAAACCCTCGGAGAGGCCGGTCACGGTGGGGCGGTTGCGTGAAAACGTGGTTCGGCGGGTGGAGCCTCTGCCTCTGGGGTCCACACAGCGCGTAATGTGGATGCACCTCACGACCCCGCAGCCCCGCGGCTCGCTGAGGGCCCAACTCTGTGCCTGCCCAGGACCTGCCCAAGACCTGCCAGGGCGTGGCAGAGATGCCCCGCCAAAGCCACGTGGCAACGCTTCAAAACCGCAAGGCTTCGCGCTCTCAGTCCCGGAAGACACTCCCTCATCCCACGGATCCCATGTGGAGAGAGGAACTACCCTCTGCGAGGTGAGCTGGCCGGGATCGGATCCGGTCACATGAGTATCACCGAGTGACAGCTGGTCTGGCCCAGCCCAGCCCACGCGCCAACACAGGTCCGGGCTGCTCAGACACCTGAGTCCCTGTGCCCTGGGGTCCCCTCCGGACACCTGGGGGGTGCCAGGGCTGCATGCCAGGCACCAGGGGCCACGACAGGTGTGCCGCTGGTATGGGGGCGGGGGTCACAGCCACACCTGGAACAGCTAATTCCTCCACTTGCTAATTGAGGATGTGAGGTCTGAATGGGGCTCACAGCAAAGGCGCCCACGCTTTGCTGCTAAGAAACCGCGCTGGGAGAGAATTGAAACTGTCCAAGTTCCTCTGCATCAACAGCAGCGCGGCCTTTGGAAATGTCATTAAACATCCATCAGCCGCTGTGTCATCCTGAGAACAGCGCCCCACAGCCCAGAGAGGGGCGGCCCCCCAGTCCGGCCCCTCCCGTCCCACTCAAGGACAGTGGCCCTTGGCTGGGCACGGTGACTCACGCCTGTAACCCTAGCACTCTGAGAGGCCAAGGCGGGCGGATTGCTCAAGGTCAGGAGTTCGAAACCAGCCGGAGCAAGAGTGAGACCCCGTCTCTACCAAAAACAGAAATAAATTAATTGGCCAACTAAAAATATATAGAAAAAATTAGCTGGGCATGGTGGTGCATGCCTGTAGTCTCAGCCACTCGGGAGGCTGAGGCAGAAGGATTGCTTGAGCCCAGGAGTTTGAGGTTGCTGTGAGTGAGGCTGATGCCACGGCACTCACTCTAGCCTGGGCAACAAAGTGAAACTCTGTCTCAAAAAACAAAACAAAACAAAAGGACAGTGGCCCTTGAGGACAGCTTCCCTCTCCCGGTAGAAGAGTCGCTGATTCTAAGGCCTGAGCCGGACTCAGTGTCTATCCTGCCTTCCCAGGAAAGCCCTTACCCCTAGCGCTCACTCCTGGCCACAGGGGACCCCAGGACACAGGCGTCCTTGGGAACCCGGAGGCCTTGGGGCCCTGCCTGCCCGGGATCCCGCAGACCCCCATCCCGGACACAGGTTGGAGTCTCAGACTCACCCACCTCTGTCTCCCTGCCCCTCCCTGCCCGACCACGCCCTCCACGGCCGAGACAGCTGCAGCTCACGCCTGCTGACGTTGGCTGCCTCGGAAAAGCCTGGGCCACCAGAGACCATGGGCAGCCCCGAGCACCGGGGGAGGGCGGCAGCGTCTCTCGCCGTGGGGGAGGCAGGTGCGCACCTGGTGCCCCAGGTGGGAGTGCGTCTCTGCTGCTGCCGGAATCACCCAGAACGCGGACCTGAGGCCACGGTGGAGCCGTGGAAACGTCCACGGAATCGTAAAACACAATGAGGTTTAAAAAAAACTCAGGAATCTCTAAAAACGGAAGCAGATGAGACAGAGGAGCCTAACTGTGTTTTGAGGTCATGACTCAGCCGCAGGGAGAGGAGCTGCCTCAGTGACTTTGAAACGCAAGAACTCGGCACGAGCCCCACGGGGCCGGTCCCAGGACAAACCGCCCGCAAAGACATCCGGAATCTCCTCCCTGATCCCCCCCGCCCCCTGGGTGACGCTGCCAGCAGGGCTGATATCCTGAAACTGTTATATCGTATCAGAAAGTATTATACAGAACAAATATTATTTAGAATAATACACGATGGCGCACATATGTTAACTTTTACATATAAAAAAAACAGTAATTACGCTAATATCAAGAGCCAAAATTTCTGGCATAAGGACAACAAGCAATCCCAGCCCTGTGACTGGGAAGGCTCGGAAACAACGGGGGGCCCCAGAGCCGTGAGTGTGCCCAGCACCCTGGCTGGTCCCCCTGGAGGAGCCTCCTCGGGAAGTGGCTGCTCCCAGATCTGAGCCGGCAGACGCTCGGCAGCACGTGGGAGCCGGCCAGAGCCCGCTGACTGGGGCTGGGACGGTCTGAGCATCAGAGAACACGGGCTGGGCTGAAACCGTCAGACAAGGCAACAAACGCACAAGTCCGGCGAGACAGGTGTGCGTGGGAGGGAAGCCACCGGCCCCCTGCAGGGCTGGGGACCAGCCAGGTCTGCTGGGTTCCGTGACTCTGCAGGGGAGGGCGAGAGGGGCAGAGCCAGCCCTTCTTTGGAACAATTCCAGCGAGCAGACGCAGCCGACGGGCAGCACTTTGCACCCCCAGGGAGGAAGAGATCCAGTGAACCGATCACCGATGGTGGACAGGACGCAGGGCGGACGCTGGGTGGACTTGATAAGCACGGACTAGACCTGCCACCGACCCTGGGCGCCAGGAGACAGTGGCCTGATGCGGGGACCCACCCTGTCCACCTCGGACCCTCTGACCCTGCAGGTCCCTGTCCGGGGCACCAAAGCCGCCTGTCGGCTCAGGGCTGAGGTAGTGGCGGTGGCCACAGTGACGCTGGCCACAGTGACGCTGGTGTCTCAGCAGGGCAGGGTGGCACTGGCTCTGCAGGCACCGGCGGGCGGGGCCACCCCACCGCCCTGGGCCCTGGTCCCCGGAAGAGCCACCCTGGCGCCTCCCGTGCACGGCCCCGCCCACCCGTCCACGGGCGCCCACCTCGCTGCCAGGAGGCGTGGGGACGGCTGCAGGAGCCAGGAGGGGGCCGGGCTGAGCCCCCGCGGCAGGCTTGGAATTACAGGCCTCGGCTTCCTTCTGGAACAAAATAATTACAGCCTTCACGGAGGCGGCGGCGGTGCGGGAGGCGGCTGCAACCCGTCCTCGGGAGCAGGGTCCGGGTTCAGAGAGAGACAGAGGCGGCGGGTTCGGGGCAGACGGCCCGAGGGTGCTGTTCCCAGAGGGTCGGCCGGACCCTGGTGACAGGACCCAGACCCGCCCCTCCCAGAGCGACCGGCACGCACGGCACTTGCCACCCAGCAGCGTGGACAGTGTCCTGATTAGCGTCTCCACTTCCCGGGAGAAATAACAACACATGAAACTGAAGTCACAAGTGGCCTGTGGTCCTCCCAGCACGGCCGAGGATCCTTCCGGAACAATGGGTCCCTCCACCGCCAGCTGCCCCGGGGGTCCTCGGCCAAACGGGAGGCTGGGGGCAGACCGCGAGCTGGGTCCAAGGTGCTCAAACAGCCCCCGGGGACCATGGAACCAACGGCTCGCAGGTGCCTGACCTGGAACCGAACCCGGGCACGTCCCCTCTGTGCCACCTGTTTGCAGGACGATTAAATGAAGGCCTCGAGATGAGCGGATCCTCCCGCGTCATCCCTGACGCCGTCACGGCACTGAGGAAGTGAGGCCGAGACGGGAGTGGCGCGGCCCTCGGGTCAGCCGAGGACGGCCTGGCACCTGATTGCAACTTCTGACTCCAGAGATGTGACACCACGTGTCTGCTGTCCCGCCCCGAGGCTGCCGTGGCTGGTCACAGCGGCCACAGGACACGCGCGGGGCGCTGGCAGCTCGGTGGGCAGAAACCCACAGTGCGGGGCTGGGACGCCACCACCGGGCAGGCGGGCAAGGGCCGGGCCCGCCCAGCTCCAGCGGTCTGGGCGTCTGCGAGGTCCCCACCCCACAGGCTGGCCACCGGGAAGCCATCCGTCCTCCCTGCCCAGGCCCCGGGCAGCCCAGACGGCGGCTAAGGCACCAGGTGCCCCATCGGCCCTCGCAGCTCCCAAGACACCTGGCTGGGTGCGCCCTGCCGCTGCGGCCAGTCCCCGGCAGCCGTGGCCCGTCCGGGTTTGCCCCTCGCCGTGGAGCTGGGTGCGGGTGGGTGGGGCCCCCCCGTCAGCGTCAGCCCCAGGGATCCCCCAGGTCTCCCTCCTGCCCCAACACGCCACAGGCTCCCACATCCGCCACGCTCCAGAGCCCCCCCCTTGGGAAGCCGCTCCGTGGCCCCTCCCCCACTCCGTCCCCGGCTTCGTCCTGGCCCAGCCACATGTCACGTCCCCACCCTGCCCTGCCTCCAGCTCTGACCCTGGGACGCCTCTAACACAGCCGACTGGAGTCCGGGGCCCAGAGGGTGGTCCCCGTCCCCAAGTCCCCCGCCCCACATGTGCCCAGCTTCCCAAAGCGCCTGTCACGTGCCCGTCCCCACGGTGGGGAACTGTTTGTCATTAAGCTGTCAGCTTTGTTTAAAGTTTTATCTTATTGGCCGGGCATGGTGGCTCACACCTGTGATCCTAGCACTCTGGAAGGCTGAAGCAGGAGGATCGCTCAAGTCAGGAGTTTGAAACCAGCCTGAGCAAGAGTGAGACCCTGTCTCTACTAAAAAATAAAAGTAAATTAATTGGCCAACTAAAAATATATAGAAAAAATTAGCCCCGGCATGGTGGCGCATGCCTGTAGTCCCAGCTACTCGGGAGGCTGAGGCAGGAGGATCACTTGAGCCCAAGAGTTTGAGGTTGCTGTGAGCTAGGCCGACGCCACGGCACTCTAGTCCGGGCAACACAGTGAAACTCTGTCTAAAAAAAAAAAAAAGTTTTATTTTGTTTTTAATTGAGAAGTAACAAGACCGCCGCACTCCTCTGCTTAACAGCAGCCTGGTGGTCGGACAGGGCCAGGGGCTGTGCCACGGCCCACCAGGCCTTCAGCGTCTGCCTCGGCCATGGCAGGCACCTGCCCTCCTCCTGCCTACAGCCCCACCCCTGCACCCAGGAGCTCCTGTCAGCTCACCATTCAGAACCCGCCTCCCTCACCTCCTCCAGGAAGCCTTCCTGGATGCTCAGCTTCAAGGTCCCCTCTCCTCTCTTCTCTGCACTCCTGTGTGTGACAACGCACCGACATGGGGACTGTGAGTCACAGCCCACCCCAGCCAGCACTGCAGTGACTCTGCCCCTCCAGCCCACAACCAGCTGAGTGGCCCTCAGTGCAGGGTGCAGGGCGGCGGCAAAGGGAAAGGCTGGGAGCACAGAAAGCAGGGCCAGGGGCCGAGCACTGGGCCCGGGAGGCTGGGCTAGGAAGTGCCCCGTGCCTGGGGTCCCCACGCCCGCTCTGTCTGCAGGACAAGGCCTGGCCCGACCGCAGCCCACGGCAGGAGGGTTGTCTGCTCTCCCTTGCGTCCTGCTCCCGGGCACGGTGACCACCCCGAGCACAGCCTGGCTCTCGCTCTGCCCCACCCCCGGGCATTCTGCTGGGCCGGAGGGGTCCAGTGGTCACTCGGAAGGTGGCTGTGGACAGGTCACTCGCGAGCCCCACGGGAGGCGGGTGCTGCTGCCGTCCAGCAACAGACAGAGAAACTGAGCACGGCCACCGGTGACCAGCTGGGCTGAGGCCACACGGGACCACTCGTACCCAGGCGCCACCAGGCCCCAGCCTGGCTCAGGGGCTCACGGGCTGCAGGGCGTCCGCGCCACGCCCACCCCTCGGCCCAGCCCGCGGTCCCCTGTGCCCGCCGTCACACCTCTCTGGCATGCGCTGTGGGCGCCCGGACACCCCAAACCTTGGGGAGCTGCTGGCGCTGGGCCAGGCCAGGCAGCAGACACCTGGAGGACGACCTTCCCCTGCAGGTTCCACACCTGGGCTGCCGGACCCCACGCTGCCGTCTCCTCCCGGGCAGCGCCAGGTGCCAGCCATTGCGCCCTGACCTGGGCACGGCCACTGGGCCCACGTCTCACGCAGCTTCTGCTCGGGAGGCTGAGGGTTGGCAGGTCCCCTGCCATTCCCGACAAAGAGCAGCCCCAGGGGCACCGCTGACACCCCAACTTGCCCCAGGGAGACCACCAGCCCCAGAGCTGCAGTGAGCTGAGCCCCAGCGCGACCTCCGCCACCTTTGACCCTTAACAACAGGACCAAAAAAGCCAACCAGGCAAACACCACTTGGGGCTTTGGTGCCGAAAGGCCCCAGCTCCCCCCTCTCCAGGGCTCAGGCTGTGGGGGGCAGGGCTGGTCCCGGCCCAGCCCTGGAAGGAGAAGCCGAGTCTGTGGGCACAGGCCCCCTGGCAGGCAGGCAAACTCGTCTGGCGGGATTTTTCCTCTGCTTCCGGATAAACAAAGCCAGCCCTGAACCTACAAGGCCACATTCTCCCGCCAGGGCCTCCCTGCCAGCCGGGCCTGGGCCTCCCCACTGCTCAGTCCCGGCCCGCAGCTGTCTGAGCCCCTGGAGCCACCGAGCCCAGTCACGAGCCCAGTCACGGTGTGAGGGCTGACCACTCTCATGCCCTCCTGGGCTCTGGGCACCACTTGAGGCCTCCCAAGTCAGACCCTGGAGAGTGGGCACAGAGGTGGGACCCAGGGGGCTCCACCAGACCAGTGGGACGCCAGTTACCTGACCTTTCTCCAATCCCTCAGAGCTCACTGTCCACCCACCGAAGTTCCCTGGCCTGAGACACGCCCCAACACGCCTGTTTGGCACCTGCCCCGCCCCCACACCAGGGAGTCAGAGCTGACCAGAATGGGCCTGGCTCAGGGGAAAGGGACGGTTTGTGCCCCAGACTCCTGGGCACAGAGTGACGCACCTGTGTCTGGGGAGGGAATGAGGCCAGGTCAGAGCCAGGCAGGCTGGGGACCCTGGGGACCCTCTCACCACTGCTTCCTCCCTCCTGGGGTCCCAGTGCACGCGGCACAGCAACTGAGGCACACGGGGCACCCCAGCTCCCAGCCCCAGCCAGAGGCTCAGGCCTGAGCCAGTCGCCTGGAAACCAAGGCCAGGCAGGTGAGCAGGTGGCTGCACAGACAAAGGCCCTGCAGGTCGCCGGGCCAGGCTGGACAGCCGGCTCTCTGTTCCCATCTCTGCATCCACGGGGACAGGCATTGGGCCACAGGTGCCCCACAGGGGACTAGCTGGAAGGAGGGGAGGGGAGGTGCTGGGAGGCCTTTGGGTCCCCACTGGGTCACGTGACCCTGCTGGACGCCCCACGCCCAGAGCCGGGGGCAACATCAGATGAGAATAGCCCAGCGAGCTCAGGGCAGGCCACACCCTCCCCCTCGTTTCCAGATACCCCACGTGGTGACACGGACATGCCACCGGGTGACGTGCCCAACACCATGGGGTGACACCCCTGCCCACCTGGAGGCCACAGACATGCCACGGGGCGATGCCCCCCAGCCCCAGCTAGCCCCCCCCTGCATGGGGTGATGCCCCGGCCACAGGCCCGCGTGGAGGGGCTGGCTGGAGATCTACAGAGTCCTCCTGGGGGAGGGGACCCGAGGGCCCGGCCACTGCAGAGCCTGCGGACGGGGGTGGGGGGGGCCGTCCGACACCAGGAGGGAGCACGGGGCCTCGTCTAGGGCAGACCTCACCTCACCCTCCGCCCCTCCAGATCCCGATGGGATGCCCGTGGGCGGGAGGAGGAGGAGGGACCCCGGCCCCTCCGAGGGAAGAGGTGAGGGTTTGCCCCTCCAGCCTGGGCAACAGCAGATACAGCCCCGCCCGGCTCCCACCCCATGATCGGTCACGTCCCTTTCTCCAAAAAGCTGAGGGAAGAACGAGGAGACCGTTGGCCGCACTCCTTTGCAAAGTGCCTGCGAAACACAAACTGGCCGCAGGCTGGGAAGGAGCGGGCAGCGGTGATAACGTGCCCCTTGGGTACACCGTGAAGCCCAGGTGACGTTATCAGCGAGGACAGCCACGTCCTGCATGGGGCCCTTTGGGGCAGCCGGCAGGTGGCTTGGGGGACTCCGGGCCCACAGCTGGAGGGGCTCCACGGCCGCAGCCGGGCCCTGGGCCTCAGGGCAGAGCAGGGGGACGGCCGGGGACCGAGGCCACCGGCTGGCTCACTCACCTGCTCAGGAACCACGGCTACGTCTCGAACTGGGTTAAGAGCTCCCGTATTTCCGGGGCCACGTGTCTCGCGGCGTTGGCGGCCTCGGTTATGGCCTTGCGGTACATCCCCTTCTTCTTTCGGTTAAACCGCAGTTTGAAAAACTCAGAGAAAGGGGAGAGTTTTGAGATGGACAAGAACGACGTGGTGGGAGAGCCGAACCAGGAGACCTTCGCCTCCTGCCAAGACGGCTCTCCGTCCTCCTTCTGGCCGAGGCTGATGTCCAGCACGCGCGCCGGCCACCAGGGGAAACCGCGGATCTTACCCCACACGATGTCCCCCACGGCCAAGGTCCTCCCGTCCCCCGTGACGCACCGGGACACACTCTGCGTGTGCAGCCGCACCGTGAGGGGCGGCACCGTCTGGGGGGCCTGCCCGGACGAGGAAGGCGCGGACGCCCCGCTGCCGGGCGAGAGGTCGCCCGTGTCTGGCGACGCCACCTCCGAGCTGGGCGACTTGGCCTCGTCCAGGCTGTCGCTGCTGCAGCCCGACTCGCTGGCGCGCCCCGCCGGGCAGCCCACCAGGAGCGCCAGGCCGCCCCGGCCCTGCCGGCCTTGGGGACACCTCTCGAAGTCCTCGTCCTCCCCGGAGCTCCCCGAGGAGGACGAGTCCACTGGCCCGCGGGCAGGGCTGGGCCGCCGGCCGTTCAGCTCCTCCACCAGCTCTGCGCGGTACAGGGGCTCCCTCTCGCCGTCCGCGGGGCGGCGGGGCTTCAGGCGGATCTTGGGGGGCGGCAGGTCTGAGCTGGGAGGCCCGGGACGCGTCAGCTTCAGCTTGGGGACGCAGGCCAAGGGCCCGCTGGCGGGCGGCCTGTCCCTGGGCTCGGGGTCCCTCGGCACCCCGGGCTCCGGGCTGCCTTCGTGGGGGGCGTGCGGGGGCCGGAAGGGCTGCAGGGAGCCGTGGGCGCGGGAGGGGATCTGCACCACCTCGCCCTTGCCCTGCGGCGTGCTGTAGGAGATCCTGATCACCGGGCTGCGCGGCACCTGCTCCACCGGGGCCCTGTCGTCCTCCCGCCGCTCCCGCTTGCTCCTCCGCCCGGCGGCCGCGGGGTGGCCTTCCTCCTCCTCCTCCTCCTCCTCCTCCTCCGGCTCCCTGTCAGGGCCGCTGCCCAGCCGCCTGCGGGCCCTGGGGGCGGCGGGGGTGCCGGGGCTGGCGTCCTCCGGGGGGCTCAGGGTGCGCTTGCACTTCGCACACAGCACCTGGCGCGGCCGCAGGCGGATGGTGCTCAGGATGAGCCGGCCCGGGTCGCGGTTGCGGGACAGGCGCCGCCGCGTCCTCTTGATGGCCCGGGGCGGCGGCTGGGGCACCCACTGCTGGTAGGTGTTCCTCAGCCACAGCGGGTGCGGGAAGGGGGCGCCTTCGAAGTACGGCGGGTACGGGCCCAGGCCGCCGGCGGGCAGCGGCGGCACCAGGGGCGGGGGCGGCTCGGGGCCCGTGGTGTCGGGGTGCTGGTCTCGGCGGGGTTGGGGCGGCGGGGAGCCGGGCCCCAGCTGCATCACCTCTCCGTCCCTGTCCTTGGGGGCCCGGCCATGGCAGCTCCTCGTGGGGGGGTCGTCGCCCGGGGGCAGCGGACCGGACGGGGGCAGGGCAAAGAGGCCGGACCTGGCAGGAGACAGAGAGCAGACAGGTGAGGCCCCGGCTGGCCACCTCCCCGCCCGCCCTCCCCCCAGCGTGCCTGGGCCCCGTTCTGGGCAGGCGTAGTCCGAGCGTCCTGCGTGTGACCCGCCTTGGGCACCCCAGGCTGACCATGTGTGTTACGAGGTCACGTGGCAGCAGCCACCTCTCTGCTCTGACACAGACACGGAGTGTCCAGATCTCAGTCCGTGGCCATGGGCGAGGTGGGCGCGGACTGGAATGGGTCCCTGCTATATATATTAGTTGGCCAATTAATTTCTTTCTGTTTATAGTAGAGATGGGGTCGGGCTCTTGCTCAGGCTGGTTTCGAACTCCTGACCTTGAGCAATCCTCCCGCCTTGGCCTCCCAGAGCGCTAGGATGACGGAAGCCTGAATGGGCCCTGTGGCTCGGAGATGCGGCTGGCCTGGCCGTGGCGGGGGTCCAGCTGCTCTGTGGCCCCCAAACCAGCCCGGGCTCCCTCCGAGGGCCCGGCCTTTCCCTCCCTCCGCTCCTTGGGGCTGGGGCCTCAGGGAAGACCCCAGAGCAGGCACCAGGCGAGACTTCCGACCCCCCAGCTTGGCCCTGGGGTACACCCGCGCTGCAGGACCAGGGTCCCAGGAGCCCGACGTGTGTCTGGTGGGGCCTGGCGTGACCAGAGAGCACAGAGACTGGCCACCAAGCACAGCCCTCCCGGGCACCGCTGCCTCCCGAACGCACAGGGTCTGCACTGGGGCCCGGCCGTCTCACCTCTGGTGGGTGCCCCGTCCACTGCCCCCGGGCCACCCCAACCTGCGAGTCCCAGCCCCCTGCCTGGCACCCAGGCCCCTCCGCCCAGGACCTGCAGCTCCAGGAACAGGCAGCAGAGCAGCCCCTCCGGCTGGGGCTGGCACCCACGAGGCCACGTGACCCCCCGTGAAAGGGCACAGACTGGAGCCCCCACCTCCCGGGGACCCACAGTGAAGGCTGTGGGTCCAGAGCAGTGGCCCCAGGGCTGCCCCAGCAGGGACACCTGCCCGACTGGCGCCCGTGTCTCTCCCCAGGAACACGCTGGGCCAGGCAGCCCCCGTGAGAGGCGGTGGCTTTGGGGTTCTGCTGTCAGAAGCCTCGGGGCTCACCTGCTGGTATGGGGGCGCATTCCCGCACACGCCCACTCCTGAGGCCCCAGGGCCGTGGCGGCCACCAGGTCACATGCGGCTCCGTAAGCCACTCCATGCACCAGCGAAACACGGACGCTGTTTGGTAAAGTGAAAGATGGGTCCAGACTCTTACGTGTCTTCAAGAGTGAACCTGTGCAACTTTTTTTTTTTTTTTTGAGACGGAGTCTCACTTTGTTGCCCAGGATAGAGTGAGTGCCGTGGCGTCAGCCTAGCTCACAGCAACCTCAATCTCCTGGGCTCAATCGATCCTTCTGCCTCAGCCTCCTGAGTGGCTGGGACTACAGGCATGCGCCACCATGCCTGGCTAATTTTTTCTATATATATTAGTTGGCCAATTAATTTCTTTCTATTTATAGTAGAGACGGGGTCTGGCTCTTGCTCAGGCTGATTTCGAACTCCTGACCTCGAGCAATCCTCCCGCCTCGGCCTCCCAGAGTGCTAGGATGACAGGCGTGAGCCACCGTGCCCGGCTGAACGTGTGTAACTTTTAACAGATGTGACTTAATTTTTAAGACTGTTTTAGCTAAAACAGAGAGAGAGGGGGGTACAGACAGAGAACAGAGATGGAGGGAGCTGCCCCAGCGTTTGTGAATAAAGTTTTATCAGTGCACAGTCTTGGTGCCACGGCGGCAGGCTGGCGCTCGCAAGACAAGCACAGTGGGACCAGCCAGTCAGTGACACGATGGCGCCCTCACAGGCAAAGCTTGCCGGGTCCAGATGTGGGGACAAGCCCCTGCCCGGAGCTGGCACTACCCCTGCCCGGCTTCCAGGCTGGTGCCCCAAGGCCCCTGCCCGGAGCAGGGAGCGGCCCTACCACCGGCTCGTTCCCCTTGGCGAGCAGAGCAGCACGTGGGCTGCACTTACAACAGGGTGAGAGTTCAGCAGACTCAGTCTGCGAGCACACACGCAGGCACACGCACGAAGGCGCACACACGCACCCTGAGCTCCCGGGCGCACGCCACTGCCCTCCATACGACCCGACCCCTGCATCGCGTGGAGGAGCCCCCACGAGGGGTGTGGCTGGGAGCAGAGGGAGGCCCAGCCCGGCAGCAGCAGGGCCCCTGCCTGAGGGCGCCGGCCAGGCACCATGGTCTGCAGAAAGCCCCGGGCGCCCAAGGAAAACTCAGCTCCGCTGCCCCCAGCAGGGGCATCTGGACGCCAGACAGTCCCCCGCAGACGGGCCAGGCTCTCGGGGTGCCACGGGGCAGACCCCCGCCCCGCCAGGGTGGGCAACGTGGCACCGTGACCGTACAGGGTTGTGAGCTCCAGTGACGGTACCAGGAGCCTGGGGCAGGGACAGGGACAGGGCAGCGGCCAGGCCGGCAGCGGCCGCCTCTGCTCAGGGAGTCCAGGACCAGGTTGGCAGAAGCGCAGGCTGGACGCCCGGGCGGCTCCTCCTCCAGGGCCACCGACAGGACCTGTCCCCGTACGTGGGCACCTGACCCCAGGATCTCCCGCACACGAGGGTCTGGTCCCTTCCCAGGCAGCAGCCTGGGCCTCTCACTGTCCCCTTGGTGGCCCGAGTCGCACCACTGTCCACAGCACCCGTGCCCGAGACCGGGGCGGCCGGCCCTGCAGACGTGGCCTGTGACCCTGGCAGGGCAGGCGGCTACTTCCTTCCTGGAGCTGCCGCCCGGCCCAGGCCACACCCTGCCTCGCCCGGTGGGTAAACAGGGTGGCAACAGCTCACTCCCAGGCAAAGCTAACAGCAGGTGCCCCGGAGCACCGGGACGTAGCTCCCTGCAGCCCTAAAGCAGCCCACGAAGCCCCGGTGCCCACCATTCCCATCTCACAGACAGGCCAGCAGGGCTGAGACCAGGACCGTGCCCAGCTGAGTGGGTCTCTGCTCCTCCAGGCACAGGCCGCCGACGGCCCAGGAAGAGCCTTGGCCACTCGCCTGGGCGGGGCACAGCCCTGCAGCCAGGGCCTCCACACTGCTGGCTCCTCAGCAAGGCTGGGGGGCCGTGCTCCCCCCCCCCCAGGGACAGAGGCCCCACTGGCCTGGCAGTGCCCCACAGGGGACCAGGGGACATCACAGGCCTTGGCAGTGAGAGGGCTGGTGGCCCTGGAGCCAGAGTGAGCCTGCCAGGGTCCCCGCTGGGCTCCCAAGGCCCTCAGGTGGGCGCAGCCTTGGGGAGGGTGTCCCCACCCATGGGTGGAGGGAAGGCTCGTGGGGAGGGGCCCCCTGCGGACTGGGGTGACTCACCGTGGGAGCACCTCAAGCTCCAGGCCGGCCAACACCTCCATACCAAAAACCGAAAGGACCCAGAAATAGCCTCACACAGTATTTGGAGAGCTCGGTGGGGACAGGGCAAATGATCTTTGCTCTGAGAAAAGCCTGGGGAAACTGAGGCGAGGAGGAGCAGCCAGGAGGCTCTAATGGGGGTCAGACCACAAAACAACAAGGACAGCAGCACCGCCCCTAATGAGCCGGGGGGTCAGAGCCCCCCAGGAGGCCCCTGCCCGGCGTCCCAGCAGGGACACGAATCCCAGAACCACTGAGTCCTCAGCTTGCCATGCCCAGCTGTCTGGCCCTGCTGTGCCCCGTCCCCCAGCAGCCCCAGCCTGAGGTCAGCCACAGCCAGGAGGGGCACAGCCCCGGCCGCCTGAGAGAGGCCCTGGGCTGCTGGCACCAAAAGGGCAGCCACCTGTACGTCAGTCCAGGCTCACGTCTGCCCTGGACCTTACTTCCTCGCCCTGCTGCTGCCTAAGAGGTGGGGAAACATGGCTCCTGGAACAGAGCCGTGTGGCTACCCAAAGCCAGGGCAGGAGCTTGCAGAAACCGCCCCACGCAGCCCCGGGACAGGCTGAGTGCGAACACCCAGGGCCCCACTGGGCTGTCCGCCTGCAGCTCCCCACCACAACCCTGCAGACGGCCAGCAGCAGGCTGGAACCCCAGGGGGGAAGAGATACAGCGCTGGCCAGGCCTGCTGGGGCACAGGGGTCTCTGGGGGCCACCTCTGCCCAGGGAGTCAGGAGAGCAGGTTGGCAGAAGCCATGGGCGCAGCCCCTCCCCAGGGCCAGCGGTTGAGCCTGGACCTCCCCCCGTGGGCAGCTGGGCCAGCCGCACCCCGTCCTGGACTCAGAGGTTCACGAGCCATCAGCATCACCCTTCTCTAAGCCCTCTGGGGCGCCCTCCACTCCACACCCTTGACCCACTCAGATGCCTCCTCCTTGGAGAAGCTCCCTAGACCTGCCGCATGGGCCAGGGCTCCTGGTATGCCAGTCTGTGACGAATGGTGCCTTGTCCCTCTAGCTCCCTGAGGGCTGGGAGCACATCTCACCCCTGCGGCCCCCTTCCCGGAAGGGCCTGGACCAGGCGCTCGTCCTTGGTTGTCACGTAAACCCTCCCAGGGGCAGCCACCAGCAGCTCAGCTCACCCTGCACAGAAGCCAGGGTGTCTTCTGCCGGGGCAGCCGCTGGCTGGGACCTCGGCGGGCTGGGGTGTGGGTCCCAGAGGACTGAACCCTCAGCAGGCTCCAGGCTCAGGAGGGGGAGGCTCTCGGCACCAGGCCAGGCAGCTCCACTCCCCAGAGACCTGGGCCCAGCCTTTCTGCAAACAAAGAGAGGACACCGTCCCCCAAACTGGCCTGACCATCACCACCAGTGCTGGGCCCCTCGGCAGCCCTCCCACCCAGGAGCCCGTGTGTATATGGCCCTGTGACACCCCGATCCAGCCAGGGGGACACCCACTCATAGTGACCAGTTATGGCCTGGGGAACCCAAGCCCCCAGGTCTGCATCCCAATGCGGGGAGCTGCTCGTGCTGTTCCACACACACGCCTGCCGGTCCCTGTGACACCCCAGCCGGCGCCCTCCTGCCCCAAGAGACGCAGCAAGATGCCCTTGGCTTGGGGACTGCAGGTTCCTCTGGGGTGGGCGGAAGCTCCGCAGCTCTTCCCTGCCCGTCAGCACCCACACCAGGGGACAGAGCCTCCGCTGTCACGGACAGGGACAAGGGCAGGCACTGGGCACTGGGCCGCTGGCACCCAGGGAGGGCAGGTCTGCACCTGGCCCCCCTGGCCCGAGCAGGGCTGTCAACAGCAGCACCGAGACTCAGAGAACGGAGTGGAGAGGGTGGTGGCAGCACAGGAAAGGCAGGTGGGCAGGGGCAGTTTCAGGACCAAGGCTGGGAGGGCCAGGGCGGAGGGGGGCCGGGCTCATCCTCACGCTCTCCAGAGGACAGGGCCGACCAAAGCCAGGCGGAGCGGGGCCCACTGAGGCCCAGCCCCCGGCTCTGTGGGTGGCTCTGGTGACAGCCGGAGGTGGCTGCTGCAGGGCTGACACCCACGCACCTACAGCTGCCAGTTCCCCCGAGGGGTCCCAGCAGGCTGGCTCCTTTCCGCAGGGGGAGGGGAGGCAGGAGCGTGATCTGCAACCAGGCCAGCCTGCGGCCTCTCAGAGAGCCCTCCCACAGCCTCTGCAGACAGCCCGGCCACAGGTCGAGGGCTGCTTGGCCCCCCCTTGACCTGAGTCAGGAGCCCAAGAAACAGGGAACCCCTGCTACAAATGTACCCCCCCACCCCAGGAGGAGAGGCCAGTGGGAGCCGTGTGAGCAGACACAGTGCACCCTGGGGACCCAGGACCCAGCCCAGGCCTGCCAGAGGGCAGAAGCTACAGCCGTCCTGGGGGGTGGTGGGGTGTTGCAGCTCCCAGGTGACCACTCTGCAGCCCGGCGTCCCTCCGTCCGGCCGCTCACTCCGGTGGTAGCCAACACAGAGGAGCAACAGTCACCCGGGAGGCCATATGTTAAATCACATGACTTGTGCATAAATGGCTTCTGGCACATCTAATGAAGAGATCATGTCAGCGAGATAATTGTCAAAGGAGGGCGGTCATGCCGGCTACATTCACGCCACCCGGGCAAAAATCTGGGCTTCACTGACAGAAAAAGTTGGGCCTTTGAAAGGGGAGCCCTGTTTACTGCTCCCAGTTTCAAAATAAAGCCCAGCAGGAGTGCAGAGACTTCACAGCCTGATTAATGCCTAATCATTTATCTGGCAGCCGCAGCTCGGCACCATGTGACGCGGCGCCGGAGGCTCGTCCCTGCAGCGTGGTCCCCGCAGGGCGCACAGGTGCTCCCAGGGAGGCTGGCCGCGCGCCCTCCACCGCGGACCCCAGGGCTGGGCGGGCCGCGCCGGCGGCTCCTGCAACTTGCGTCCTCTCCCTGCTCCGTGACTCGGGCTCTTCGGCCTCCAACAGTGTTTTAAAACCCCACAGCTGCGCGCAACTGCTCCGGCCAACCCGAACCTCGACCCCGAGTCCCTCCCAGGAGCCTGGGGGACCCCCGCTCGCTACTGACGGACAGGGCCGGGCCATCGCGCATCGCATCCGACCCCCTTTAACCGACGACAATTCTGCAAACAGCCGAATTCAACAGTGCGTCTGAACAAAGAAAAGTGCGTTAATTATGGCAGATACGCGGAGTTCGGGGAGGCCGGCGACACGCCGCGCGCGGGACTCGGGCTGCCCGCACCCAGCCCCGCACGGCCGCCCGCTCCCCCGCCCCGAGAAGTCGCGGCGACTTTGAGCCACTTTCGCCCCCTGAGTGGCGGCCGCGCTCGCGCGCCCCGAAACCGGGCTCCGGGAAACCGAAAGTGGGCGCCGGGGCCGCGCCGCCCCGCCCTGGGCCGGTCCCGGGTCCTGGGCCGGCGGGGGCTGTCCCGGGGGGCGTCCCGGGGGGCTGTCCCGGCCCGCGCCCCCGCTCACTTTTTCGTGCAGTCCAGCAGGATCCCGGCGAAGCTGCGCTCGCCGCAGCTCACGGTGACCACCAGCGCGCCGTTGACGACCTGCTCCACCCGCACGGGCAGCCGGCAGCCGGCCCGCGGCTCCATGCTCCGCGCCGCGTCCGCAGGCCGGCGGCCCCGCCCGCCCCCCGCCGGGTCAGCCCCGCGCGTGACGCCGCCCGGCGGCCGCCTGACGTCACAAAGCTCCGCCTCCGGCCGGGGCGGCGGCCGGGGGCTGGCGCTCCGGACGCCGAGAGGCGCGCGGCCGTGTCCCCGGCAGGCCCGCGCCTGCCTGCCGCACCGGCCGGGAAGCGCACTGCGGAGCCCGCGGCGTGGGCAGGGCCGTGCGCGCAGCCTCCCGGCCGCGCCGCCCAGGAGCGTGCCCCAGCTCAGGGGCCCCGGGAGCCGGGAGCTGGGCGCCGGGCGCCGCAGGGGACACTGCCCCGGCCCTTGCCCGGGGCCCATCCCGGGGCCCCTCCCCCTTCACGACCCTGTCCCGGCCCCTCCCAGCCTCGGCCCTGCCCTGGGGCCCCGCCCTCCCTGCCCCCCCACCCCGTCCTGGGTCCTCCGCCTCCAGGTCCAGCGCCCCAGTGTCCCGCCAGCGCCCCCGCGCAGGGCTCTGGTGGCCGCCGGGCACTGCGGGGAGGAGGGCCCCGGCGGCGCGCGCAGGAAGCCGGTCAGGCCGGGCGGAGGAGACGCGGCGCCCAGGGGGCCCTGGCCGGCGCCCCGCCGCGGCCTAGTCTCGCCCTAGCCGCCGGGGGCGGGACACAGGGCCACTCCCGAGTGCTCGGCGCCTCCTCGGGCTACAAGAGGGCGCGCGCCCAGCTCAGGGCCACCCAGGGGTGGCCGGCACCCGGGTCGGGGAGGGTAGCTCCGTCCAGAGGTCTCGTGCGCGTCCCCTTGGGTGGCCTCGGGCCAGTTTGCAAAGGAAAGAGCCTCCTTCCCCCGAGCCAGAGGGGCGCCCAGAGCGCAGCCCGGCCCGCGGGGACTGCAGGTGAGTGGAAGGTGACGGCGCCAGCGGACGTCTGACCCCCGCAGGCGCCTTGCTCCCCAGACTTCCCCAAGGACCAGCGCGTCCGCAACTGACTCCAGGCAGGACCTTAATCGCCCGACCTCTCCCAGCGACCTCGGCCCCAGGGCGGGCGGGGCGGGAGCCGGCGCAGTTGGCCTGACTACGCGACGCTGCCTGCAGGCCGGCTCCTGCCTCTGAATGCCACGAATGCCCCCACCCCGCCCGGGCTCCGACCTGCCCTGGCGCCATCAGGGACAGTCAGGGCCCCTGGCGCCGCTTGGCTTCGCCCTCGTCCTGGTTGAGAAGGCACCTCCACCTGGCACCGCTCCAGGGTTAGCCAGCTCTCCGCCTCGGGCCGCCAGGCCCCAGAGGAGCCTGATGGCAGCCTGCCCCCTCCAGAGCTGGGTGGGGCCGACTTTGGAGGAGAAATATCCGGCATCAGGGCTCCCCCCTCCCGTCCTGTCTGAAGGGGGGGAGGGGAAGGGGCCTTGCCCGAGGCCTCCCACCTGCTCCTCAGGCTCCTTCCCCCTGGCATGGGGACAGCACCAGGACCACAGGGCCCGCGTCTGCGTCAGCTGCCAAGCTCGTGGGTGTGGGTGGGGTGGCCCAGGAGGAGTGCCGTGCGGACCTGGCACTTGAGCAGCAGGTATCCGCAGAGGGCCCTCGAGCGGAGCGGACCCCACGGGCAGAGAGGCAAGATCTCGCAGTGTGGGCAGCGCAGGTGTGCGAGTGGACAGGGGCCCACATGTGGGCGCTGGGGGTGGACAGGAGAGCCCTCTGGAGGGTCCCACCTGTGGTGAGGGGGTGCCTGATAACCCCAGGTGTCAGCAGGAGCAGTTTGGGGTGGGATGAGTTACCTGCCCGGCTGAGTTACCTGCGGGGCTGAGGCCGGGTGGAGGCAGGTGGGAGTCTGACAGGACAGTGAGTGAGGGTTCTAGGGCACAGAGGGCTCGGTGGGTGGACCTGCCCAGCAACTGGCCCACGCCCAGCAGGTGGGTAAGAGTGAGGAGAACACCTGCTGCTTTCCCTGTGCCCGACAGCCTGGTCTGTGTTATGTGTTGTGTATTTTTTTTTTTTTTTGAGACAGAGTCTCACTTTGTTGCCCAGGCTAGAGTGAGTGCCATGGCATCATCCTAGCTCACAGCAACCTCTCAGCCTCCCCAGTAGCTGGGACTACAGGCATGCGCCACCATGTCCGGCTAATTTTTTTCTATATATATTAGTTGGCCAATTAATTTCTATTTATAGTAGAGACGGGGTCTCGCTATTGCTCAGGCTGGTTTCGAACTCCTGACCTGGAGCAATCAGCCCGCCTCTGCCTCCCTGAGTGCTAGGATTACAGGTGTGAGCCTGTTGTGTATTTTTTTTTTTTGAGACAGAGTCTCTCTTTGTTGCCCAGGCTAGAGTGAGTGCCGTGGCGTCAGCCTAGCTCACAGCAACCTCAAACTCCTGGGCTCGAGCGATCCTTCTGTCTCAGCCTCCCGAGTAGCTGGGACTACAGGCATGCGCCACCATGCCCGGCTAATTTTTTATATATATATCAGTTGGCCAATTAGTTTCTTTCTATTTATAGTAGAGACGGGTCTCGCTCTTGCTCTGGCTGGTTTTGAACTCCTGACCTTGAGCAATCCACCCGCCTCGGCCTCCCAGAGAGCTAGGATTACAGGCGTGAGCCACCACGCCCGGCCCTGTTGTGTATTTTTAAGTGAACTAACAGGCCTAGGCTGGAGTGCAGTGGCATCATCACAGCTCTCTGCAACCTCACACTCCTGGGCCCGGCCACTCTCCTGCCTCAGCCTCCTGAATAGCTGGGAGTGTGTGTGCCAAGATAACCAGCTAATTTCTATTTTTTAGTGGAGATGGGGGGGGGGTGTCTTACTCTTGCTCAGGCTGGTCTTGAACTCCTGAGCTCAAAGGATCCACCCGCCTGGGCCTCCCACAGTGCTACGATTACAGGCATGAGCCACCACGCCTGGCCTACAGGCTGTTTTTAAAACCCCTTCTCCAGTAGGTAGGATTTTAAAAAGACAGCGGAGCTCACGCCTGTAATCCTAGCAATCTGGGAGGCTGAGGCGGGTGGATTGTTTGAGCTCAGGAGTTTGAGACTAAGCAAGGGTGAGACCTCGTCTCTACTAAAAAAATAGAAAATTAGCTGAACAACTTTAAAAAAAAATGTGTAGATAGATAGAGAGATAGATTAGCTAGGCATGGTTGCGCATACCTGTAGTCCCAGCTACCCAGGAGGCTGAGGCAGGAGGATCGCCTAAGCCCAGGAGTTTGAGGTTGCTATGAGCTAGGCTGATGCCACGGCACTCTAGCCTGGGCAACAGAGTGAGACTCTGTCTCAAAAAAAAGTGGACAGGGAGAGTGCACCTTCAGTGGTGGCTGTTCACGGCCCACCCCAGAAGCCCCGCCACCTCTCCCCAGCACGGCCTTGTCTGAGAGGCCGTGGAAGTCTCCAGAGTCCCCAATGGCAGGGCAGATGTCCCTGGGTCCTCACCAGCCCAGGCACCCCTCCTTTCCGACACCATGCTCGGTGGGCCGGGCCGGTGTGGTGCCGGCTGCTCTGAGATCTCTCCAAGGGCTGCCCTGCTCCTGCCGGTCAGTGAGGTGCAGCTGGTCCTGGGGAGACTGGCTTGGACGCCGAGGCTGGCACTGCCGCCGTGAGCTGACCTTGGGCTGTCTGGGTCTGGGGAGGAGCTTCAGGAGGGCCCTTCTGGGTGAGGAAAAGGCCACGAGTGGGGGAAGAGGCACCTCCCTAGGTCTCTAGACTTTGTCTTCAAGACAATGGGTCCAAACAAAGGCCCGAAAGCCTTCAGTCCCCCAAAGCCCAGGAAGCACCAGCCCCTGGCTGATGGATAGGGACAAGGTGGGGGCACAGAGGGGACAGGAGACTGTCCAGAGCTCCCACTGGAGCTGAGTTTGGGTGACCAGGAGTTGGCAGGATGGTGGCCTGTAGGGCACAGCTGGAGGAGGAGAGGCTGTGGAGGGGCAGGGGCTGGCTTAGCAGGAAGGAGGGCTGGGGCCCTGCGGGCTGCCTCCCCTCTGCGTCCGCCTCCTCTGGGGTCCTGGTCTCTGTGCTGGTCCTTGGAGAGCTCCAGGATTCACCCTCCCCAGCAGTTGGCCCCTCTCACCACCAGCCCCATGCCCGCCCCTGCAGTCGTTCAGGGTAGTTCCTCCAGGGACCAGCTCAAACGGCCCTTCTGACCCCTGGCCCAACAGACTCCCCCAGCGCCCTCCTTCCCGTAGCTCCCTGGCCACGCTACATAATTACACTGTCGTCTCTCGGGACTTGGAGGCTTACGGGGCCCCCCATGACTGTGAGACGCTGCCACGGGTACCCAGCCTGTTCCAGACTTCCTGGCCAGGCAGCTGGCATCCCGCCCCTCGCCTCCGTCCGCTCCTAGAGCTCGCCCGGCCTGGCCTGCTGGGTGGTCTGCAGCACAGCCTGGCTCTGCCACAGTGAGGCACTTCTGAGATGGATCCAGGGTGTCTGGTCCAGGTGGGGGCCTTGAAGGCCACAGCCACGGGTCAGAGACCACGGATTTCTCCAGAGCCACTGCCCAGAGGCCAAAGTAGGGATGGGGCCTGATGCTTGGGGACAGTAGGGGACAGAGTGAGTACATGAGCATGGCCTCTTTCCTGGGTGCCTGGCCTGGGCACGCAGTCCTCGGCCCCTCATGTCCCCTGAGGCAGGGGCTCCAGGGCATCTCTGCATTGCAGACACGGAGCCTGGGGAACCTGGACCTCCCGGCAGATCACAGATCCTTGGGTAGCACTTGTTTTGTTCTGTTCCAATCTGGAAGCCCTTGGAAGTTTGGGGTGTGCAAGACTGCTTTCGTGCTGTCTGACCACCCTGCAGGGTCAGGCTGGGAGCTTCTTCCCTGCCCCGTGGGTTATCAAGATGACCATAGGGTGGTATTCCCATGAGGGATATCTCAAAGGGCTGGCTAGGAACAGAACCTGCCAGAACCCCACTGGAGGTGGTGCAGAGAGCTGGTTAGGAGCATGGACTCTGGGGCCAGACTGCTGGGGTCCTGCTGTGTGGCCTTGTGGGGGAATGCCTAGCACCCTGTGCCTCAGTGTCCTCATCTGCAAAGTGGGAATGACAGTGCCTACCCCCTAGGCTTGTAGTGTGGATTAAATGAGTTAATGTGAGATACTTAGCATAGCACCCCCCCAGTAAGGCATCTATAAGAGTCAGCTGCCATCACCATCATCACCACCATAACCATCACACTACCACCTTCATCACCATCATCACCATCGCTATCATCGTCATCCACCACCACCATCACCACAACCATCCTCACCCTCACCTTCATCACCGCAACCATCATCACCAACACCTTCATCATCATCCACCACCACCACCACCATCACTGTCACCATAACCATCTTCATCACCATCACTATCACCACCATCACCACAACCATCCTCACCCTCACCTTCATCACCATCACTATCACCATCACCATTATCACCACTATCACCATCATCATCACCATCACTATCACCATCACCATCATCACTATCACCATCATTATCACCATCACTATCACCATCATCATCACTATCACCATCATCACCACTGTCACCATCACTATCACCATCATCATCACTATCACCATCATCACCACTGTCACCATCATCATCACCATCACTATCACCATCATCACCACTATCACCATCACTATCACCATCATCATCACCATCACCATCACCACTGTCACCATCATCATCACCATCACTATCATCACCATCACTATCACCATCATCATCACCATCACCATCATCATCACCATCACTATCACCATCATCACCACTATCACCATCACTATCACCATCATCACCACTATCACCATCACCATCATCATCACTATCACCATCATCACTATCACCATCACTATCACCATCATCGTCACTATCACTATCATCACCACAACCATCATCACCAACACCTTCATCACCATCATCCACCACCACCACCATCACTGTCACCATAACCATCTTCATCACTATCACTATCATCACCACAACCATTATCATTACTACCTTCATCACCATCACCATCATCCACCACTACCAACATCACTGTCACCATAACCATCTTCATCACCATCATCACTCACTATGATCACCACTGTCATCACCATCACTATCATCCACCACCACCACCACCATGACTGCTATCACCATCACCGTCATCATTGTCACTACCATCACCACCAGCAGGGGACCTGTATAGCTGGGCCTGGAGCAGGAGCCTCAGTCAGGCCGGGCTGGAGAAGCAAACCCCGTGACCACACGCTCTACACAGGATCTGCCCCCACTTGTATTTAGCCGACACCGGTGGAGATGCCGAACAGCGCAGGCAGGTGGGTGCCTGCCAGATAGCAGCCCTACAACCCTACCTACCCCATAACCTTTGCTGTCCCATGTCCTTGGCCGGGGAGCTGAGGCAGCCCCCATGGCGAGGGTGGCTCTCAGCGGTGGCCCTGAGTCCCCCCAGGTTCAGATCCAAGAGTCCCTGGGGCTGCAGGCATCTGAGCAAGGACACGTCTAGGGTGGGAAATCTCTTCCCCCAATTACTGCTTTAGTCTGTGGCACTCCTGTCTCTGAATGAGCCGTCTGTTCCTCCCTGGAGATAAGTCTTTCCTCCATGACAAGGGAAACCAACCCAGAGCATCCTAAAGCGGCCTTGGCGACTGAGGCCTAACGGGTAAGCACAGCCTGCCTGCATCTGCGGTGTTTTGAGCTCTCCCCTCCAAAGGCCATTCCTGGATCTGAAGTGCCGTCCAAGTGCTTGCTCCTGGTTTGAC